AGTTCGACCCTTTCTGCTGGGGTGCTGATGAGCAGGCTCCCCCGCCCAACGAAGAGCAAAGCGACCCACCACCCCAGACCCCAGCCAGATGGCCAGATCCCCCTCCTTTGGTTTGGTTCTTTAAACAATTCTGGAGCTTTTAGCCTGCCAGTGTCGAATTACAAATATCGGCGCTGCAGCGTTAGCTCGATGCACACTCTGCAACCTCACGGGCTCACTGAGTGAAAAACAGTTACTACGTCCCATCTATGATTTTGTAAACTTCCTTTCAACATGATTGTGCCACTAGACGGCTTTGAGATCATTTCACTCTAGAATTCTTACGTATTGCTCCTTTGAGGTGTGCAGAGTTTGAAAAAGCTGTGTTTTCTCAAGAGATCCCTCGTGGTTGTGTCAGTCACATACCGAGGTGGCAGCAGGAAGACCACAGCAAAGACAGAAATTGAGGGAAAGCTCGATTCTGTGGTGTTTCTCCTCGACTCTCAGTGGACTTTAGATGCGACTGCATTGACATTTCCAGGGGGCAAAAAGAAAAAACCTATTGATGTAGTGACACTTCTATCTACAGGTAAACACCATGTACCAGACATTCAGAGATTATTTCACCTAAATAAAAAAAATCTACATTGCCATGTCTGCCTGTTGGTTAATATCTGCAGCACCATTACCAACCAGCACAAAGCCAAAGTGTGACTGCGATTAGTCTCTGACTCTGTTATAACGCTAATGAAATGCATTCAGAAAGGAAATGAGGAGCAGGCAGTTAATGAGAAAAGAAAATGGTATTAATATTCCCAGTGCATGTGAACTGTTACCCCCCCCCCCCCCCCCAAGAGCTCTTCTGACAGAATTGACAATAAAAGATTAATGACTGCTGTAAAATTAGTTTTTTCAATACGCGATTAATAAGCCATTAAAGACCTTAGTAAATGTAATTTATTATCTGTTCTCGTGGAAAGATCTGATAAGGAGGAGGGCTAGGCTGTCAGAGGGTCTGGGTATAAAGAGTCCTCCTGCAGCCTGTCGCTGACGCTGCTTTGTTTGAGTGAGGAACCGCTTAAACAACTGTTAAAACAAGAACATGCCCAGGGGCTGTCAGCCGCTTTGTTGAAGAGGGTCACATTGGTAGAGATAATCAAGTAAATGTAAAACATGTCAAGAATGCAACACACACACACACACGCACACGAAGTGAGAACTGAAGCTCTTAGCGAAGTGGGTTTTGTATTCCGCTTTAATATTTTATCACGACGATACTTAAAACAGTGTCCTTGGTCAACTTCATTATTATTAATACTTGATCTAAGTAAGAGAAAAGAGGTGTGGTATCATTATTATTTACTAACCGCTGACTACAGATCACCGTGCGATTAAAATCAATTTCTATTAGTAATTTATCTGAGCTGATTTGCAAATATCAAGGACATCACACATAATGGGCAGATTAGCATTACTTAAAAAAAGTCAGTGTAAACATTCTTTCATATGTCGTCGTCGTCGTCTTCCTCCGCTTATCCGGGTCCGGGTCGCGGGGGCAGCATCCCAACTAGGGAGCTCCAGGCCGTCCTCTCCCCGACCTTGTCCACCAGCTCCTCCGGCAGGACCCCAAGGCGTTCCCGGACCAGATTGGAGATGTAACCTCTCCAACGTGTCCTGGGTCGACCCGGGGGCCTTCTGCCGGCAGGACATGCCCGAAACACCTCCCCGGGGAGGCGTCCAGGAGGCATCCTGACCAGATGCCCAAACCACCTCAACTGGCTCCTTTCGATCCGGAGGAGCAGCGGTTCTACTCCGAGTCCCTCCCGAATGTCCGAGCTCCTCACCCTATCTCTAAGGCTGAGCCCGGCCACCCTACGGAGGAAACTCATTCCGGCCGCTTGTATCCGCAATCTCGTTCTTTCGGTCATTACCCAAAGCTCATGACCATAGGTGAGGATTGGGACGTAGAACGACCGGTAAATCGAGAGCCTGGCTTTCTGGCTCAGCTCCCTCTTCCCCACGACAGATCAGCTCAGCGTCCGCATCACTGCAGACGCCGAAACAATCCACCTGTCGATCTCCCGATCCCTCCTACCCTCACTCGTGAACAAGACCCCGAGATACTTAAACTCCTCCACTTGAGGTAGGACCTCTCCCCCGACCCGGAGGTGGCAAGCCACCCTTTTCCGGTCGAGAACCATGGTCTCAGACTTGGAGGTGCTGATCCTCATCCCAGCCGCTTCACATTCGGCCGCGAACCTACCCAGCAAGAGCTGAAGGTCAGAGCTGGATGAAGCTAGGAGGACCACATCATCCGCAAAAAGCAGAGACGAGATTCTCCTGCCACCAAACTCGACACACTCCACACCACGGCTGCGTCTAGAAATTCTGTCCATAAAAGTGATGAACAGAACCGGTGACAAAGGGCAGCCCTGGCGGAGTCCAACCCTCACTGGGAACAGGTCCGACTTACTACCGGCTATGCGGACCAAACTCACGCTCCTCTGGTAAAGGGACTGAATGGCCCTTAACAGAAAGCCACCCACCCCATACTCCTGGAGCGTCCCCCACAGGGTGCCCCTGGGGACACGGTCATAAGCCTTCTCCAAATCCACAAAGCACATGTGGATTGGTTGGGCAAACTCCCATGCCCCCTCCATCACCCTTGCAAGGGTATAGAGCTGGTCCACAGTTCCACGGCCAGGACGAAAACAACATTGCTCCTCCTCTATCTGAGATTCAACTATCGATCGGACCCTCCTCTCCAGTACCTTGGAGTAGACCTTTCCAGGGAGGCTGAGGAGTGTGATCCCCCTATAGTTGGAACACACCCTCAGGTCACCCTTCTTAAAGATGGGGACCACCACCCCGGTCTGCCACTCCCTAGGAACTGCCCCCGATGACCACGCAATGTTGTAGAGACGTGTCAACCATGACAGCCCTACAACACCCATAGCCTTGAGATACCCAGGACGAACCTCATCCGCCCCCGGGGCTCCGCCGCTGTGTAGTTGTTTGACTACCTCAGCAACTTCTGCCCCCGAGATCGGACAGTCCATCCCCAGGCCTCCCAGCTCTGGTTCCTCCTCGGAATGCGCATTGGTGGGATTGAGGAGCTCCTCAAAGTATTCCTTCCACCGTCCGACTATAGCCTCAGTTGACGTCAGCAGCTCCCCATCCCCACTGTAAACAGTGTGAGCGAGTTGCTGCCTTCCTCTCCTGAGGCGCCGGACAGTTTGCCAGAACCTCTTTGGAGCCGATCGATAGTCTTTCTCCATGGCCTCACCAAACTCCTCCCACGCCCGAGATTTTGCCTCGGCAACTGCCACTGCTGCACCCCGCTTGGCTATCCGGTACCTGTCTGCTGCCTCCGGAGACCCACAGACCAGCCACGCCCTGTAGGCCTCCTTCTTCAGCCTGATGGCTCCCCGAACCTCTGGTGTCCACCAGCGGGTACGGGGGTTGCCACCACGACTGGCACCAGCCACCTTACGACCACAGCTAGCAACAGCCGCCTCGACAATCGCAGAGTGGAACAAGGCCCACTTGGACTCAATGTCCCCCACTGCTCTCGGGACGTGGTCAAAGCTCTGCCGTAGGTGGGAGTTGAAGACCGTCTTGACAGGTTCTTCTGCCAGGCGTTCCCAGCAGACCCTCACTATGCGTTTGGGTCTGCCAGGTCTACGCGGCATGTTCCCTTGCCATCTGATCCAACTCACCACCAGGTGGTGATCAGTTGACAGCTCCGCCCCTCTCTTCACTCGGGTGTCCAAAACATACGGCCGCAGGTCAGATGATACGACTACAAAATCTATCATCGACCTGTGACCTAGGCTGCCCTGGTACCAAGTGTACCGGTGGGCATCCTTATGTTCGAACATGGTGTTCGTTATGGCCAAACTGTGGCTTGCACAGAAGTCCAATAACAAAACACCGCTCGAGTTCAGATTAGGTGGGCCGTTCCTCCCAATCACACCCCTCCAGGTCAAGCTGTCATTGCCCACGTGAGCATTGAAGTCCCCCAGCAGGACAATGGAGTCCCCTGATGGAGCACTATCTAGCACTCGTCCCAGGGACTCCAAAAAGGGTGGGTACTCTGAACTGATATTTGGCCCATAAGTACAAACAACAGTCAGGACCCGTTCCCCGACCCGAAGGCGCAAGGAAGCTACCCTCTTGTCCCCCGGGGTAAACCCCAACACACAGGCAGAGAGTCTCGGGGCTAACAAAAAGCCAACCCCAGCCCTCCGCCTCTCACCCGGAGCAACACCAGCAAAGTAGAGTGTCCAACCCCTCTCCAGGTCTCGGGTTCCAGAGCCAATGCAATGTGTCGAGGTGAGTCCGACTATATCTAGCCGGTACCGCTCAACCTCTGCCACAAGCTCCGGCTCCTTCCCCGCCAGCGAGGTGACGTTCCATGTCCCAAAAACTAGTTTTCTTGTCCGGGGATTGGACCGCCAAGGCTCCTGCCTTGGTCTGCCACCCGATTCGCATTGCACCGGACCCTTCATGTTCCTCCTGCGGGTGGTGGGTCCACAGTTGGACGAGCCCATGTATCCGGTTCGGGCTAGGCCCGGCCGGGCCCCATGGGCGAAAGCCCGGCCACCAGGCGCTCGCTCACGGGCCCCAACCCCAGGCCTGGCTCCAGGGTGGGACCCCGGTAACCCTCCGGGCCAGGTACTCCGACTCTTCGTTTTAACCGCCATGAAAGATCCTTCGAACCGTTCTTTGTCTCACCCTTCTTTCATATGGCTTTTAAAAATCCAGGGGAGTTTTAATCTGCATTGAGTTTTGATTTTACATCTTATTATTTAAAATGGAGATGATTTTATTATGTTTGTTTGAATGACTCTGATTTAATTTGCTTTTATACTAGCTTTCCATTTTATTGTTTGTTCTATTGTTGATTTATTGTTTCTAATTTTAATGTTAAGCCCTTTGGTCACCCTCTGGGTAGTGTAAAGCACTATATAAATAAACTTTGATTGATTGATTGATTGATTTAGCCAGAGATAACATACCAACAGTCCTCCATGGCAGAGATTTCTCCGATGAGCTGTGAAAAGAAAAAACTGCATTAGAAAAGTGAATAAAAGTGTACATTTCAGTACAAAGCACAGAAATACTGAAACACCTTAATACCTAGTGCATTTTTATTTTGAGGACTTTTATTTATAACATCTAAAATTAAAATATTCATGCGTTGTGTTATTAAAGTCTACAATTTTCTCGGGTTGTGAAGATTCAAAGATCTTGAGATTTCTTGCAAGAAAATTTACAGATGCTGTTTGTCTATATTCACCCTATGGTAAATATTTGGCCGATGGATTCAATACAACCGATGAGAGATGAAAATGAATACAAAGAAAATGAAGGACTTAATCCAGAAAATTATCACTCTGCATATTTAAACAGGCAGTCCTGCAGCTGAGCAAAATGACATGTTGATATGACTCGGACACGAGGCTCAGAATTTACTCCAATGCAGAGGAAATCCTTTTCATTCCCAAGGGAACAATGCAGGAGAACATTGGTCCAGTCAGAAACAATTTTACACTTTGTAGGGTGGGATAACGCCTGGCTAACAGCTAAAAATATTGTACAGTGGAGTTGTATTTTTACATTTTCTGTAAATGTAGTCGCTAGTTTCTGTAACTTGTAATCAAATGTTCACACTGTACCAAGAATATATGAAATACTAGGGATACACGTTTTCCAAAATTTCTTTAACTAGTTATTGACGCTCCTTAATGTCACACAAACATTTGCCCCCACTCTATAAATAATAACGCTTTTCCCTTCTACTTTTTAAAATATTATTCTGATGCACAACTAAAGTCCCACACTCGTTACATTTATGAACAAAAGCTAAAGAAAGAGTGGGATGACAGCTGAAATGTCGGTCAGACTCAGAACTTGTTGGCCAGTGGACGTCTGGCATCAAATACACAGCGCTGCTTGCGATTGCGTGCTTATGAGTGCATTCTGGAGTTCACGGCTTTAAAAAAAAACACTTGAGTTTCCTTGCACTGAACTAAATAATTGCACTGACATTTCTTTATTTTACTGGACAAATTAGGAGTCAGGCGCAAGCAGGAGCATCATGACAGACTGACTTGTTGCTGGTCTCGGTTCGGTTTGCTGTGCCATGTTCTGCCAGGCTCAGCGCTTTGATGTGAGGCTAATTGTGTTCCAAGAATGAAATAACTAGGAATAAACTGCTCCCATGCCGTGCTCTTTGCTAACCGCTCTGTGTGGCGAGCTCTTTTCTTCTTCTGCAGGTAAACACTTTGATAGCAGCGCTCTTGCACACTCCAGAGCCACAAAATATATTGCAGTCAAATGCAGAAGAAGCACTTGAAGCAGTTAACCGGGCAAAACTATTTTATCTGGTTACAACATTTATGGCAATTAACTGGTTAACTATGTGCATCCCTACGATATACACATCTTTGCAAATCCAGAAAAGTGTGGACGTACAAAAGCGGTACTTTTAAGAGCACAGTGAACTCCCCCATTGATAAAATCTCTCTGTGTCTACGTTCTCCCTTGTTTTTTGTCCCCACGTAGGCATATACAGTTGGATAACGTTGTCACGTTGTGGGTGTGGAGATGATGGACCAAGTGTGGTGGAGCAGCTCAGGAGGCAAAGATGCAGGCTCGGATAAAGTAAAAATGAATTTAATTACAGAACGGGAACGGCAGGAACAAACACAACGCTGACAACTAACACACACAATGATCTGACGAAGACTGGTACAAGACGGGAGGTATAAATACACAGGGAAAATTAGGAACACATGGGCAGGTTAACGAGGGGCAGGTGAGAACAATAAGGACTAATCAGGGCAGGAGAGCGACACAGTCAGGAATGCAGGGGCGGATCGCGACAGTACCCCCCCCCAAAGGGGGCAGATACCAGATGCCCACAAGCCACATAACACAGGAGGCTCTGGAACACTTGGACTCAGGGACTCGGGAACACTTGGACTCGGGAACTCTGGAACACTTGGCTCAGTCCGGGGCTGCAGAGCAGGGGCCTCTTGATTAGGCGGCACAACTCTGACTTACAAGGGTCTCTTGAGCTTGGACCAGGAAACTCGGACTTGAACTCTTTGACTGGACACACAGGAACTCTTGACTGGACACACAGGAACAGAAAAAACTGCAGCAGCCGGGGAGGGACCCAGTAGGAACTGCAGCAGCAGGCGTGGGACCCAGCAGAGACTGCAGCAGCAGGCGTGGGACCCAGTAGGAACTGCAGCAGGAGGCATGGGACCCAGTAGAGACTGCAGCATGAAGGACCTGCAGGAACAGACCCGCAGGCGTGAACCAGGAAGTAGATGGAAACTGCAGGAGCGACATGAGGAAACCCAGCTCGGCGGCAGGTACTCGACATAGGGTCTGAGCAGGTGCACATACCGATTCGCTGGATCACAGGCAGAGGCTCGGGTGAAGGGAAGCAGACATGGAGCAGGAAGACCAGCCCTACCACTCCAAAGAACGCTGGCATGCGCAGGGGGTTTTACCTCCAAAAAAACTCCAGGATACAGCAGCTTCCGTAAAAAACAGGACGGGGCAGAACAGCAGGAGAGGAGAAATGACCCCGACCACCCCGAAAACGGATAGGATGCGCCAGGATCTCCCAGAGGGCTCAACCACCCCGAGAACAGGTAGGATATGCCGAAAACACAAAACTCCAGGCCGGAATCTCCCTCCGCTGAAAAAGAGAAAAAGCAAAAAAAAAAAAAAAATCCTCCAGGCAGATGTTGCAAAGCTCACCACAGATCCAGGTTGGTCAGATCATTCTGTCACGTTGTGGGTGTGGAGATGATGGACCAAGTGTGGTGGAGCAGCTCAGGAGGCAAAGATGCAGGCTCGGATAAAGTAAAAATGAATTTAATTACAGAACGGGAACGGCAGGAACAAACACAACGCTGACAACTAACACACACAATGATCTGACGAAGACTGGTACAAGACGGGAGGTATAAATACACAGGGAAAATTAGGAACACATGGGCAGGTTAACGAGGGGCAGGTGAGAACAATAAGGACTAATCAGGGCAGGAGAGAGACACAGTCAGGAAGGCAGGGGCGGATCGCGACAAACGTAATGACGCAGCACAGACTAGACCCCACGTTCACGGAAAAGCGACTGGTTCGGTTTTCTTCGAAAGAGCTGGCTAAGAACTAAATAAGCTCTAGCTCTGGCACCAGCACCAATCTCATTGCAAAAACATTTCTATTTGGTTTCAGCAGTTCAAAATGTTGAAAAAAAAAAAGGAAGGATTACTTTGTGAGTGGTTGGCAACCAAATTACAATGTAAATGTGGGTAAATTGCAAACCGTTTGTGACTAAACTACAATAGGTTGCAAGGCAATTTGCTTCCTTATATAATACTTGACATTCAATGTGATTTAATATAAAATTTGCAAACTTCCTCATGATTTTATGTTCCCAGCTGCAGCAGCCCAATGAGACTGGCTTATGTGTCATAACTAATGAACCCGTCTTTAAACAGAACAATGACACAGAACCGGAGAGGGAGAACGTCCCCCACAAACCGTTTTCAACAAATTCCGTTTTCCTGTCATTAACATCAAGCATTCAGTGTTGCTCCTACAACTATCTTCCCCTAATCCAAGGTGACACTAGAAGGGATTTTAAGAAGCATGGCTCTCTGACTTGTAATGAGCCCACAGGCAATTAAAAAGGAGATGCTGGGAAAGTTGTGCGCCACTGAACCATAGCAGATAGAGCAGAAGAATGGCTACCATGACGACAGATGATGATGCACACTGTATGTTGTTGGGAAAAACACTTTTAGTGACAGCAAAACTGAAAAAGTGATTCACAGCAAGCCTTTTCCTATCAGCATACCTCGTTTCCTAAACACCCACTAGTGAACAACTAGCCACGTGGGAGGTCGAAACTTTTCAGCATTGCCTGAGGACGGGCTTGACGACCCCGCCTTTATTCTTGTAGAAATAGCATTAGAGGTGTATTGAAATGTAATGACTCTTATCAGGACCCTTAAGTGTCTTGCCACCTCTGCAGGTGTCCTGCTGTGCTTTTGAGTGAACCATCATGACATAAGTGTTGAAAGCTGATCTACTCTTAAGTACAAATATCCTGTGACAAACATTTCATTTTTCCTCCATGGGTTTCAAAATAGACGTATAAATGGTGCACCATGAGTGTTGTATAGGATCTTATAGGCAGTTGTCCTGTCCTGGGGGAGGGGGGTTGTTAAAAGTCTGTGTTAGACATCTGGTGCTTTAATCTGTAAGAAGGACACTGTTACTTGGCCAAGGTCCCTCCAAGCTCACTCTAATCTAAGACTGGTTTTTTAAAGGGATGCACCGATACGATACTGGTATCGGTACAGATACCGGTATCGGTATCGGTAAAAGTTAACAGATACCAGTAACTGATACCAATGCAGTTGCTTGAAAGTGACATCACTATAACTTGTCATTTCTGTTCACCTAATATTTAAGTTTTGTGATCACTTATACTACTTTTTATCTACCTCACAGTCTTTTCCTATTGAAAACAGAAGAAAATAAAACCTGTATTCCAATTCATTGCATTTTTTTGGTGTGGTAGAAGTATCTGTATCGGTATCGGCGAGTACTCAGATCCAAGTATCGGTATCGTATCGGTTTGGAAAAAAAGTGGTATCGTTGCATCCCTAGTTTTTATTCACAGCACAAGACGGATGAACTTTCAAAAGTAAATCATATAATGAACAAAATGAGTAAATAATCATATGGTTGAATGAACACTAATAGTTGAAGAATAATAACAATGTTTTGATTAATCTGTGCTTAAATTACTGTGGTTGAAATGAATATTATTATGTTATGATCAGTAAAGTTGGATTTAACAAGTGAATTACTATCTGCTGACAGCTGACACACTCAGACACGTGACGATGACATGGTTAAATTAATATCCTGACAACATTGCTTTCTGTTCCACCGATCAGAACTCCGGTATCTGACGCGAGGCGTGTTTTCTGAGTTTTGTTGGTAGGACTCTTTTTGCATGTCGGGTTCTGGTTTGTTAGTAGATCAAGATGTGGCGATTATTAGGGCAGGACTCACTTCACCATGAGTCAGTTGTAGTTCTAGTTCTTGTGAGTTCTTGAGAAAGCTTCGGACCGGCCATCCGAAGCAAAACCTCTTTCATCCAGAGCATCTTGACAAGCTGTCAAAACCCTGTTGCATGCTACAGCTGACCGCAAACGGTTCCTTCAGGACAAAGCTGAACCAACTTCAACTCCTTAAGAGTTATTCCTAAGACGCAAATAACAACTGTCGTGACCTGAAGACATCTCGAGACTGGTCTAGTCGGCACTGCGGTTTCTTCTACGGACTTCGGTAGCTCTGGGGTCCCCAGACCTCAACACATTCCAGATCTACCACGGGGGTCTTCGAGTGTACGTAGACTCAACAGATTGCGTCTAATGTGTTTTTGATAAGAACCAACTTTGTTAGTTTAATGCAGACCAAATTCACTCCCACTCAGAACTCAGTTTCTTCAGATACGAGGGTTCTGATAACATCACATTCACACATAGTCACACCTCACATTCCATCCACTTAAGATTCCTTCATCACATAAAGTGTCCAAGTTGTCATGTTTTTAATTGTTTAGAAAATAAATTTCTTGCTTTTTATAACCTTGACTCTCTTCTTGAATTGATATGAAGTGTCTTACAATCCCTGAATAAACAAAGAATTCTAAATCTTCTGGTTAAACATTCAAAGATCCATCAGACTGGATTTCCATATTTATATGGAAATTCACATCATATTGGTCAAAGTGTAGGGTAGTAAATCAAACTTCAAAAGCACCCAAATACATATGTTGTCACGTTTTGGAGGGATGTTAGAACCCAAAGTGCAGAAACCCAGGATGACACGAGGCAGGAGATGATGGAAAGTAAAATCCTTTAATTTTGAAGGACGAAACGAAGAATAAATCCAGGGGCAGGGAGCCAAAGTCCAAAAATGTCCAAAATCCAAAATAAACTAGAGATCCAACTGAGACACGAGAAACACTAGAGACTAGGAACGAGAGACTGACAGAATTACCACAAACAGCAACAATGGACCGACAAGACACAGAGACAAGACAGGGCTTAAATACACTGGGGCATAATGGGAGGCAGATGAGCTGCAGGTGTGTGGAGTGTGGGGGAGGACCAGGTGAAAGCAATGACTAATCAGGGAAGAAACTAACATGACCTAAGAGTGAACCTAAAAACAGAAAAGCAACCATATAACTAAAATTCTAAAGGGAAGGAGAACTACAAAAACCGGTGGGACAAAACATATTAAAGAGACTAATAAAAATGAAAAGCTGAAACTATAAACACTGCAGGGGGATGACTGGCTGCAGAGGGGTGACTGGAGAAGACTAAAGGAACACAGGAGACACATAAATGAGATGCAGACAAAGGACACATGAGGGCGCTATGAAACACAAAAGGAGAACCTGGAGTGGGAACTGGAGGGGCTGGGGAACAAAGGGACACGGAACATGACATATGTGTGTTACTCTCCTACACATCTATGGCATTGATGTGAAAAGCAGAAACACAATTTCATTTATTATAATCAATTTGTGGCAAACAAATATTCCACTAATAACTAAAACTTACAATATGTGTTTCATGAGTGAATAAAACACAAACACAGGATAGCAAATATGTTACTTTTACAGACGCTGGTGCAGATGGGTATACTGAATTTGATGCCTAAAAGCATCACTCCTTGTACAGTAGACTAGAATCCAGCATTTGCCGAAGCAAAAATAATTAGGCTTTGCATTCGGTCTAGCCACGCTCCACTGGAACCTTCGCAAGCCCGGCCAGGATTGTTGCCGACCAATCACAGCACATTTATTAAAATAAATAAATAAATAAATAAAATGTATTGTTTTATGGTTTTTTTGTGTTTTATGTAGTTCTTCCGTGATGTAATAGCGGACTGTCCCATTGACTGACATCTGTAGCGTTCCAATCACAGCCCTCTATTGGTTTGGTGGGCCAATCACATTGTTCTATTAGCCAGGTGGATGGGAAGTTACTGCAAACCAAGATGGCTGCCCACCATAGCGAGATGAGAAGACGGAAAATGCTCGTTTGAAACGGCTGTAGCTTCAACTTTGGACTATTTTGACGAGTCCAGAGCAGACAGAGGTACTTTAGTTTATTTAGAAAAAGGATGTATTTGCGTCTTCAAGAAGAGGGCTGAGAATGAGCCTTGGTTGGTCCGGAAAAATACCAGGCCACCCAGATATGCAAACAACCTACTCTACCCGGCCCGGGCCGACCCGGTACAGATGGGAATGGCCCAATGATGTACCGTGGCCACACTATATATCAAACATATAGGATGGCTTGTCAGGCCAGCACTCTTTGAACTAAAAAAACAAAATCAAACACCCGCGAGGTGTTTCCTGAGAGTTTTTAGTATACGGCCATACGGGTACACTTAAATCAGCGGCATACCTCTCAATCAAAAGAAAGAAAAAAGGGGGAAATGGACTCATATTCCTGAGCAGTGTGAGCAACGGGCATGCAGGCTGGAGTGCAAGAAGGAAAATTGACTCTAAGGGTGTTGGTGTTATTATCATAAAGCCAGAAAATACAACAAAGAGCCATTGGAGCTCCAACTGAAACGATTGTGTGTTCGGATTTAGCTCAATTGTATTAAAGACCATTTGAGAAAGAATGCAACTCACATTTGCCATCAGATAACATAACAAGTCACTAATTATGAGAAATATGCAGATCAGTTTTACTCCTTCGGCACTATTGAATAATAAGCTATGAAACAGGGTAGATTTTATGCATCAGTTTACGTGTGTGAATGCAGTTTAATACCAACTTCTGTCGATATAACAATGTCCTGAAATACATAAGACATCTAATGTGAACAGAATAACTTTCTAGGAAATAAAACGGTCTTTGACTCATGTTTCCACGTATAAAACTCAAGCCGATTCTGAGCCCTATTCAATGGATTTAGATGGGAGCCAATCCATTCATGACTTTTAGGACATGCAGACTATTTCTAGAGATGAAGGAAATGCTTTTTTTTTAAAACTGCGGCTAACAAAGAGACATTCTTTAAGTATGTCCATGAACATCAAACAGGCAAAAAAAAATGCTTTACAAAGTTTTCTGCAGATCTTATTCATATAGATACTCTTCTTATTCATTAATTATATTAGGACGACTTTTGAATACAAGTGGAACGTTCTTTCTCTTCTAGGAAAAATCCTACATGATGTCACAGCTACTTAACTAAACAACGTCCAATCATATTTTAGCATTCAGAGCAGCTCATCAAGACTGTTTGGCCATAAGGTTTCATATACACTGAAATATGGTCACTGCTGTGAGGGAGGAAGAAGCCATGTGTTGGATTCTGACTTTATGTGTGTGTGTGTGTGTGTGTGCGTGCGTGCGTGCATGCGTGCGTGTGTGTGTGTGTGCATCTTCTCATTACCTGCTGCTACCAGTGCCTGGTGACTCGGCCCCAAGTCTGCATCTTTCCAGCTGATTGGCCACAATCTGCCTCTCCACTTCCAACTCCCTGGTCAGCCGCTCAAACTGGAGCTCCTGCACACGAAAGCAACAAATAGACACATGAGACACAAGGTCAAATTAATGTGTTTTCACTGGAGATTTATGTAACTGTACTGACAAACATGATGACAGATGAGTTTCATCATGGCATGCACAAAAATGATGCAACACGACTGCACAAAAAGAGAGAGAAGATACAAAAGTGTCATTTGTTTAGAGAAATGCAAGTTTATGAACCTATACACACTCAGACATGTGGTCTGTATGATATTGTCATTTTTTAAGCCCACACAGAGGGATAAGCACCACTTTCGTGGGTGATATTTAGCCCCCATGGCACTGTGCCTACAGGAGATGAGGAGGAACCAGCATTTGACTAATTATCCAGCCGGAGCAACGCCATTACTTGCATAGCAATCCAGCTTCAAGCACGGCATCATGAGACTCCAAAGACCTACAAGATCTTCTCTACACAGGGAAATTACATACTCATGCCCTCTTTTTGCATACATTCAAAACGCTTTTAAAAATTAAACAGTGATAACTTTGAAGAATAAAGAGCGTAATTCTTCTTTTCCTGCAAAAACAAAACACGTTTCACTCACCATAACTCACTACCCAGATGGAAGGGTTCTCACCTCGCCTAGCCTTAGCTGTCCCATATAATCATCATTACCACGGTCGATTACATTCACAGCCACACACACACACACACATGAACTGGCTAGCCGCGTGTTTTGTGACCTGTCTATGAAAATCTAGTCACTCTACATCACAAAGACCAGCCTACTTTTCACACTTCTCCTGTGTTCCCTGGGGCTGCACCAAAATTTCCCTTTACACTGTAGAGATTTTCTGCTAAACCCTCCCCCGAACTCCGACTTTATACCCTCCACTGCTCACCTCTTCTGCGCTTCACTTGGAGATATGTGGAGCTTGACTGCAGCAAAAGAGATTGCAGGAAAGAAAACTGTTCCATTATATTTCTTTAATGTAATGCCATTATTAACGGAGCTGAGAAACCTGTGCAGTACAGCAATGAAATCTATTTATATATCACTTAATATATACATCAATCCGTTTTCCACTGCAGATATAGGAGAAAGCTAAGATACAAAAAAGTACTGCATGCACATGGAAATCACATTATTCCATCATATACAGTTAAAGTCCAAGCATTCCTTGGAGGAATTCGCTTTCCCTCCCTCAGAGCTACGCTTCTCTGGTGCATCCATGTGTACCAATTGCTTGTAAGAAAAGATTAGAATACAGAAAGATACACATCAAGATGCTTTATTTACTGCCTGAGTGAAGACAGATTTCAGAGATTGTCCGCTGCTGCAAATGTCACTAATCTTGGCTTGCCACCTCTATGCCTTCTTTCTTCTAAGCTTATAATCCAATTTGGCAGAGTGCCACTGTCCAATGTCCAGTGACTTTAATATGGGCTTGAAAGTTTGTACTACAAAGAGACACATGCAACAAAAAGTGATTCAAACTGTTGCATGTTTCTTTGATATTTCAGTGTATGGTAATGGGGTTGGCCGTTGGTCCTGTTGGTCAAATGGTCCACGATTTTGATTATCTACAGCAGTGAGACATCTGATGCAGCCATAATAATGTCACTTTTAATATTCATAACTGTATCCAGCCTACAGCAGATTGGCGCCCAGCCTGGGTGCCTTACCAAAATCTGGAGAAAGTTTTTACTCGTGAGTTTTACTTTTGGAGCTCTTTGTCTAGCTTGAACAATTGCCAACAGTCCTGCTCTAAGATGAGGTATTACTCTTTGATGCATTGTTTAGCTTTACTTCTGAAGGTTACAACATAAAGAAATGCAGACACTTAGGACACAGATGGACAAAGACCTGATGGGTGATGTGATGACAGAACTCTGGAAGCACTGAAAGGCCCATTCATGCTTACTTTCCATTTGTAAATATTTGTGCCATTTTTGCTGGTCGCATGCAAGTTTTACTGTGCAACACTGCCCCCGATGATTTCAGTTTGTCCATTTGCTGTGCCTAAGTATGCATCTGCAACCTATCCGGCAAAGTCGTGAAATGATCGAACACAAACAAATTTTCTTTGTTTTGATATGCTTGTGTTAGGGTTGGGCAATTGAAAGAATTGATCGTCCGTGGTCAATTGTTGTTTTAGAGAATTTTTTTCAATACTCATCAATTAGTCTCATGGATGAGACATTACCAACTTCAATGCCAAATCAGTGTTTTTTTTAACACTCTTTCTATGTACATATACATATTATACACCATTTAAAAGCCAGGAATAATGTATTTCTAATGATGTATGGCAATCAAGAATAGAACCATCATTGTAGACACAGCAGGTGCTTTTGTGAAATGGTAAATGGCATGTATATGTATAGTGCCTTCTTAGGGTTCTACAACCCCCCAAGGTGCTTCACAACACAATCAATCATCCACTCGTTCACACACACATTCACACGCTGGTGATGGTGAGCTGCAACGTAGCAACAACTGCCCTGGAGCGCACTAACAAATGCGAGACTGCCCAACACTGGTACCACCAGTCCCTTCGACCACCAGCAAGCAAGGCAGGTTGTGTCTTGCCCAAGGACACAACAGCAGTATTCTTTGGTGCAAACTGGGATCAAACCTACAGCTTTTCAATTACTAGACAGCTCACTCTACCTAGGTAGAGCTGAAACTCAGAAAATAATGTCAAACACCCCGTTCAAAAACTCATATCACTAGCTTTGTACATTTACATGCACCAAATATGCCAAATCCGAATCAAATCTTGGTTGATCGGAAATCAAATCTCCGTTTACATAACAGAGTTGTCTTTGCCAAAAAAAAAAAGTAAACAAACGCCATCTTGTCCGCACGTCTTTTCCCTCGCATTGTATTTTCTAATTCTCTAGCTTTGTCTGTGGACTTACGTTTTTATTCCCCCATTATGGACCGCTTCTGTTTACCTCTTGCCATGTTTCCAACTTGTCCTGAGCGACTGCAAAGGCAGAAAGACGTCACGCTGAAGTTGCACGAATGCGCAGTAAGCATTATTTTACTCCAACAATCCAAACAGGTGTGTACATGGACATCAATCGGAATGATGATCGGATAAAACCACCTCTATCAAATGGAAGGAAATTTCATTCCGATCGGGCCGTATCGTATCAGAATATTCTGATTGACATGTTTACATGAATAATTTTTGATCTGATTGGGCATTCATTCCGATTACTTGTACTGATGCAAACGTAGCTACAGACAGAATAGAACCATATTAAAGAGAAATGGTCTTTGCATATCCACAAGTGTTAGATACACAATCCAACATATTTTATGGCTAAAATCATTCAAAAATTCCTCATACTAGCTTCAAACTTTGGTTTGGCATCTTACTGATCCAACTGTTGCCCTCTGTGGAGGAAAAATCACCGGCTATGGGCCGACACGTCAAAAGTCCCGCCCCCCCCCAGCTCCAACCAGTTCCAGCACAGTAAATTGTTGATTGACGCATTAAATAGCCAATAAAACTTGAAAAACAACGAATTCTCACATGGACGTCTCATGGTCTACTTCCCCAAACTGAATAGGAAAATTCTAAATGGAGATGGAGCGCTTCGTGCAGTTTGTGTCAGGCCCACGTAACATCTAAATGTCATCGTCCATCTTCATGTTTTTGGACTGCTGAATACTGCTTATAAAGTTTTTATATATCACCCAACCTTAGTTTGTGTATTTAACATTAAAAATAAATGAGCCCTTGTATGCAAGGCTCACACAGACAGTAATAGATGTATTCAGCATAACTATCCACCACCTCTGGCTAAGCGCTGCAGTAATGAGCATTAGAATACTAATGGGTCCAGCCTTGACTGGTACAGGGCATAGTGTGGAGAAATAGACAGAGCAACAGTCTTTTATTTATTTATTTTTATTTTTTTGGCTGTTACAATGAGCCCATTGGGCCTGATCTGGCAAGGAGACTTGGAGCTAAATCAGATCCTGTCCCCTTGTGTCCTTTGACAGGCCCTAAAGAAAGAGATGACACATGGCAGCGAATCAAGCTAGAAACATACAGTCATATGTCATTTCTATAAGAGGCGGTGACACTCCAAGACCCATCTGCAATGCCCAAAGTGGCTGCAACCCACTGCTGATTCACAATACACAAGAGAGAGGCTTAAACACACAGAAAGCTCTGAGCTACATTAACAAGTTTTGATTTACTGATGCCTCAGAGCAAACCTCCTGGCATATAGTTCCCTTGATTATAGAGGAAAGACAAGCCTTTGTTATTAAACGACAAAACGTATTCAAAGAAAACTTTGAAAATATAGTAATTGTGGATAGAAAAGAAATAAATGTGATATAACATCTCTATAAACTACACATACTGAAAACACACACACATTCACACACTGATGGTGATGAGCTACTATGTTGCCACAGCTGCCCTGGGGCACACTGACAAGAGTGTATTTCTAAAATAAATTTGACAGTGTTGGTTACGTGAGCTGATGAGTCTTGATTAAACCTGTGAGAGCAATGGATGCTTCAGGGTAACAAGAGCTGCAGATCAAGCGCTGCACCCAGTGCATACATTCATAACTGTCATAGGAATTTTGTGCATAGTACACAAGTCAGTCAGAAACAGAAGCTCACGCATGAAGTAGGAAGGAGAGACTCGATAAAAGGTTGCCCATGACAAGATGACAGATGGACACACAGTTAATAATTGCTCTGACTGCCAACTGACACAAACATAAGATGTGAGCTCATTTGTGATGTTCAAATCCATTTAGCATAACCAGTGCAGATGGCTTTCCCGTTTAACCGAAGAAGCTAACAGAAATTTGTTTGTTCATTAAGTGGCAATGAGGCCTGACAGCTCTGCACTCACTGCAGAGATGCAGAGCACTCCAACAAGAGACCAAAACTGCTGCGCAGTGGTAGAATAACAACAGAGGTTAAAGGATTTCTGCAGCGGCAGGGACAGTAAAGCAGGCCAAAGGAGTGAGAGAAAGAGGAAGGGCCTCA